CGCACACACACCACGCACACACCACCTAAGCATTTTTTAAAAATTATTGTTCTTTCCAACTTCTGGTTTTACATTGCTCAGCTTCCAGAGAGCTTGTCCAGGTGAGGGCTCTTCAGTTATTTTAGTGCAAACATGCGTCTCATAGTAGTCTCACCCTGAGTTTAGAAATCTGGAGAACGTGGGAGCTGTGACTTGTAGACTTGATTCCCATCAGATTCCATAAGGGTCTCTGGCTGGCCTGGTAACTTCTGTATTGGAAACGAATTTTCTACCAGGTGGGGGTAGGTGCTCACCCCTACCCTGTAATGATCTTATTTGAGAAGCAAGAGCTACACATCTTGAGAATGAACGTGGAAGCCAGAAGCATGATTGCTGCTTTATTAGAAGCAGGTGGGGAAGGAAGTGGGTAGGGAAATGGAAGCTAGCTTAGCTGAGTGGAATCTTGCTGTTGCCTTTGTAGTTGTGTAGCTGTCCTCCTTGTCTGCTATGATGAAGAGGGTTCTGGCCATGTTCACAGTGCTAAATACAGGAAGCCAAGAACTACGGCTTCACCTGGCCCAAAGATGCCTGCTACCACCTAGTTTGGGCCAGAACTGGCTACTTCCTGGACTGGTCCTTTGGGTTTTGGCCCTTGGCTCCAGTGAGCTCTGCAGTAAACCCTGCAGTTGAAAGCTAAGCTAATGTAATGTGAACTAATAGTTTGCCATGCCAAAAAGCACTTCAGAAAGCAGAGTATGTTACTGGGAAGGCAAGATCCTACTTAGAAAACTCACAGCTCCTCTGGACGACATGATGGCCCCATATATTCCACAGGCTGTGAATTGGCTTCTTCCATCTGCTGAGCTGGGATGAGGCAACACCTACTTTAAGAAACCACTGAAATCTTGTGCTGTCTAATGCATGCCTTGAGTGTGTTTGTTGTTTAAAGACTCTTCATGGTGGAGGGCTGCTGGTGGTGTCATGTGCCCAGGTAGCCTGAACACCCATTCCCCGTGTGTACTTGTGGGCTATGAGATGCCCCTCTTCATTGGCCTTTGGTCCCAGACAGACTAGGTCTGTGGATCTAATAGGGAGGCTGGAGCACTGGGGAAATGGCACCAAGATGGAAAAACCATGGCCTCGGGAAGCCCCCTTTATTCTTCGGGAGATAATTAGCAAGGGAGGCATTGCTTGCAAGATGTGTCAGTTTCCAGAACCTCCTAACTTGTTCGTCAGATTGCTGTCAACTTTGTTAGGATTGTGAGTCACTGACATCAAGGAAATCAAGAAATGGTGCCACCCTCTGGCCAGTGCTGAGCTAGCGGTGACTTAAGGAAGACTTTTAGTATCTCTGGCCTGTTGATAAAGGCAATCTCAGGGGGGTTGTCTACTTTACCTTTATGATGAGGCCTGGCTGATGGCAAAGCCCTTGAACCCCACAGCCATGATGTAAAATAAATGCCCTCTTGTGAACTTTTTTCTCAATAGCACTGTTTCCAGTGAAAAAGAGCTCTACTTTGCTCTCCCTTAGCTACCTCGGTGCCTTCTGCATAAAGCCCTTCTGCATAAAATACATCACTCAGCCCGCAGGCACTAGCTAAGTGGCTGGACAGGCCTGGGCGGGCCATCGGCCTCCTGTTCATACAGTCTCATCCCAGGGGCCGGGCTCCTCTTTCCCACTGGCATTTTATTCTTGCTGGGGCATTGTGGCCTGCAGAAGTCTTGGGACTGGTCTTGTAACTATGTCCCCCCTGAAGGCTGAGTTGGTCAACTTGGGCTAGTCCCAGGTGATAGAAGGGAGAACGCAAACGAAGCAGAAGAGCCAATTGCCAAGATCGGACCTCTCAGTGTGACCTGACAGGAAGAACTTTTAAAAAGCTCAACATTCTCAAGTGGCTTGATGTAGGGGGTTGTCCACCTTGGTGTGGGACAGGCCCATTTTCGCACCACTTGGGTTGTGGTTAGTACCAGTTCTTCGAGGAAGACGTGCTGGAGACTGCCAGAATCCCTCTACATCGTTTTACGTGCTTGTGTCCAAGTGTGAATTGTAAATGGTTTAGTGTTTGCATTAAACAAAATGGAATCCAACAGCTCCTTGTATTCTGATACTATCCATCTTTCCCTACTGTCATTTGTGATATGGTACTGACCTCATTCCCCTCTCCCCAGCCAAAGGTGTGTTCTGGGCAGGTTAGCATTTTGCTATTATTTCTCCCACAAAGTGCCCAATCTTAGGGCTTCTGCTAGTGTACTCACATGGTACAGGAACTGCAGCATGGCATGTCTGACATCCTGGAATGAAGGGGAGGCCAGAGCAGAGCACCCTTGCCCCAGCATCAATTCCTTTGAAAGGAACAGCATTGGATCCACCACCCTGATAGCTCTGGAGCACACTGCTCAGTCCTGAAAGTGAGCCAGGAATGGGTGTGCTTTATTCTGTGGGGGGCACTATTGCAGGTAGCAGTCTGGGAGGTAGTCCAACCCTCTTCTGCCTAATATTGGGCTCTCTGGCTAACTCATCCATGATTCACAAGAAGAGGATGAGTAATGCCAGATCCTTAAAGAATGGTGACACACAGGAGATGGTGCGATTTCACTCTAGGTTTTAGAACCTTGAAAAAGTACACAGTCTTATAGAGCTGGCAAGGACCAAGTGAATACTGCATTTGCAAAAGGAGAATCCACTGCCTCTGGTCAGTCCAGGTCTTTCTCTGTCTTCAACATTTCTTCAAGGTTATGAACAAGGGGACTTTCAGATTTGAAAATCAGATCATTTACCCGTTCAAGCCCAAACACTTATGACTCACAATAAATCACTAACAACTTAGTAAGTCAATCAAATCTCACTGGGCACTTTACATATGTTAACTGTGGCAGGCACATAGTAATCATCCAACACATAGTACTTTATTAGTACTCATTTTCTTCAGGGGAAAAACCTACTGGAATGGTTAAAAGAGAGAGACAACAAAAAGACCAGGGAGCAAACATATTATAATTTTAATTACAGGTTGGAATACAGTGCATCAGATGAGGCAAATACAGTATTGTACTAGTTGTTTAAAAATCTGAACCTTAAAGGTTTTACATTCTAGTATTTAAATAAAACAAACATGAAATAATTGCTTAGATAAGAAAACTACACTTCAAGTTGTTTTAGAAACAGTTCTGTGCTAGAAACATACAAAGGGAAATACTCTCTTGTGCTTCTTTAAAATCCAATGGAATTTCTATGGGTGTTGCAGGCACACAGCTGGGAGGACATGGCCTGACCAGGACCAGATCACCATTCCACCAGCCATCTGTACCAGGCTAGCTGACCTTACTAATCAGGGCCCCCATGGCCTCTCTGGTTCTGTCAAAGCATCATCCAGTCCACCCTATGTTTAATAGTCCTATTGTTGTTGGGCAATTATACAGTATTTCTAGGGAAAATTGTTTAATGTTCCCAGTTTTAAAAAGCATATGAAGGAAAAGTATTATAGTTTGTTATTTTCTTTTTGGTATTGACTTTGAGACAGGGTTCCACAATAGAGCCCAGCTGGTACAGAACTCAATATATAGCCAAAGCTGACCCTGAACTCACAGCAGTCCTACCTCAGACATGGCAGTTTATCCATTTACAAATAAGATTTTGTATATATGAGGAGAATAAATCAAAAGTTAATTATCACTTGAACTATAGTTTAGAAACAAATCCCCCAGATGATAAAAATGGAGACTTTATCTTAGCTTATGAAACTTTGAATAAATGTCTCTAGTTATTTTAAGGTTGGATAGTTTTCTGTTAGAATCAGAAGGTTCCAAGTTGAATAAACATCTATTTTCTATGCATTCAGTTGTAGAAAACTCTTTAAGAATACAATTTTGAAAATTGAGGTCAACATGTAGGACTTCATGGCATCCAGTGATTTGACACTGACCAGAGGAAGATGCAATGGATCTATGCCCAACCCTGAAGAACCCAGTGACATGCAGAAATGGGTATGGCAGTGGGGGTGGGGCTGCTGGCACTGCACACCGAGGAGCTGATGGGAAATTCATTCCTAGAAGGACTGATGGAGTATCAGAGCTCATTTGCTAACCATGGAGAGAGGTCTGGATAGCTGGGGCTGACTCTGAGAAAGGAAAAGCAAGGAAGAGCATGCTATGCTTTCCCAAGCAAAGCTGTAGCACAATGGTTGCTTTAAAGTATGGAAGGCAGCCATGTAAAGACACTGAGAAGAGATTGGGATAAATGAAGACATAGTGTCCATGTATCTAACAGGTGAAAGCAGATTTGCTCTGATATGGGTGCTGGCCATCTTAACAGGTGGCAGAATGCAAGGTCCAATGGCCAGAGCAATCCCCAAGACTTGATCCTTTATAGAGCTGTCATAGAGGGAGGCCACCACACACAGAGAATTGCTGCTTGAGTCCTCAGTTTACCTGCAACAAGCAGTCATAGTTTGCTACATCCTGAGGGAACCTGCTGCTACCTCTATCAATGAGTGAATGGGATGTGCCACGTCAAACAGCAAGTACCAGAGTTACAGGACAATACTACATTGCCACTGAGATAACACATCTGAAATCTTAATTCAAATGTACCACACAAAAGTCAGCATGAATTCTCTTAGGCAAGAATTTCTCATACAGCACAGTTCAGCAGATGACTCCTGAGACAACTATTCTAAACATAAAAAAGGGCATAGGAAAATAAAGGCATGTTTCTCTTTAAAAAATACCTTGTATGTACACAGCAGTACATATTGTACCAATTGTACAGGAGGACTTCTTGCATGAAGATAACTGTAGAACAGGTAGCAGTGGTC